TTAACTAAAGTGTTTGTACTTTTGTTTTAGCGTTTACAACAATCATTACAACCATCGTGGGACTGGGGACCAGCTTTGAACAGCAACAGGGTTCTAGCTGGCTACAAGGCTTTACCAGGAAGTATTCCGGAAATCAATGTCAAGACAGTTCCAAATGCGTACCAGACACCACCATTACCACGTGAAAAACGAGAGCACGAAAATTACCCGGAGACAGACTATGAAATGACTCAGGATATTTAGATTTTCAAACCATCTGTGACAAATTAAATTCATAGCTCAACACTGATACACGACTGTTCAACTAGATGGATGAGGAGGCAAACTGTTGATTATTAAACAGATATTCAACTTTTTTACTGTACTTTCTTACATTCAAGTAACAATTTGATTGCTGCAGCAAATTTAGGAAAGTATTATTTGATATGGAAATTTATAAAATATTTCCCCTGGCAGACCATCGTCCTTCATTCATATCTAACAAATATGCATTTTATTGGCAATAGAAATTATTTGGTGGCCACATTACCCACGAGTCTTTGCGCGTTTTCCTCAATCATGGGCCGGTTGACGAACTTGGAATTTAAATGTGACTTTTATAGAATAACAACATTCCTATGAAGGTTACTGTAGTTGCGATTTAACAATTTGTTCAGAATTTTTCTCCAAATATGTATCATGATATTTTTACCTCTGACCCGGGCAGGCATGTTGTTCAACGCATGTGGTGACCATTGTCAAATTTGAAAAAAAACTTTTAGCCATTTTCTTGTGTAGCTGATACATCTCAATTCAATAAAAATTAAATATTTAAATCATTGACTCAACACAGAATGTGGATTTAATTTATTGAACGAGTCAAGCAACTCAAAACATTAACCAGGGTTACTACACTGGAGAGCAGATCAATTGAGCGAATGATACTTAAAGTAACCCACAGGGACTGGGTGATATAGATGTGATAATAAAAAATTGAAATAGTTCCAATTGAAAAGACTATGTGCATCTAACATTAT